AAAGTGTCAGCACCTACGGATTTTTAATTATAATATTATCTACCCTACAGAAAAAAAAAAAGAAAAAAAAAAGGTACAAAAAAAGAGCTGCCCCTTCACTACAAAACAGTTTAATTATTGTCTCACAAACTACCCCATTTATCCAGAACTGCCACAAAGTAAAAGTCCGGGGCTTTTTTCCCCTAACAGTAACAACCTACAGCAGCCTTCCTAGAACACACCCTATTGCAATACAAAAATAAGCACTGTTTTTTTAACTCCCAGCTTCATACTCAGCCTCTACAGACTCCAGGCATACAAAAATATCTCCTTGCATTGCTTTTTTTAAGCTTTTTAAACTTTGCTGCCTCTGACCTGTACTATTAAAGATCACTGGAACACTGTTGTTATCCTTAGGATGATTTTTCCTGTCGCAGGCTTTTGCTCAAAAAACACATTCCTATCAAGACAAATATACTACTGTTGATATTCTTCCTCCTATATTCATGTGGCAATTTTCATCACGTTTTAGTTGATGGCAGAGTTCCTGATGATGGGCTAATTTTTCAGCAGAGTAAAGAGGACACATTTTTTGGTTTTTACCATTCAATAAAAATAAGGGTCCTACAGGCAAAGAGCAGCTGGAGATGAGAGGTCTGTCAGTGCCCGCCCTACAGCACTAATCCTGAGGTAAGTCACAAGCCATTTCAAAAACACCTCTGGAAATTCACGTGCAATTTAGTGTTGTTCACTGGCAACGCATCTGCAGCCCCCAAAATATTTAAATACGAGTCCCTTTCACCTTTAACAAGTAATTTATCGCGCACAGACACCCTCCGAGTAGAATCCGACGCTGGGTTGGACGCACGGGGTCCTCTGACACCATCATCCCGCTTCAGCTTGCTTGCCAGTGTTAGCATTCCTGCTGCTTCCACCTGCAACACAACGGGAGAGCACAGCCCATCACCAGGAACGAAGTGCTGGGGGTGCAGAATGAAAACAACTCACAGCTGCCGAAAAAGGAATGAGCTTCCACCACGTTCTCAGCAGTCAAACACAGAAGGTGCTGCTCACAGCTCACACAACTGTGCTTAAAGATGAGGATGGCTCAGGGAATGATTTTGTTGGGGCTGTGAATACTGAAAGACCTCCAGTTTCTTAGGCCAAGGGGAAGCTCAGTTTTGCAGGAGAAAGGTCAGGCTTACGTCAGTGTTTACAGTGCAGTTTCACTGCTTGACACTGCTCCTTCCTAAGAACTGCCGGGGAAATACCCCTGGGCAGACAGTCTGCTGCAGCCTCCACGTCCACACCTTGCAGGACAACGTTCAGAGCTGGCTTTTCAGCTGGCCAAAATACAAAGAATAACGAAGAGAAAGGGGGCAGGGATCGCTGGAACTATTCTCTAACGCTAGGAAGTGAGCTCTGAGGCAGCTCCCAGGACACAGGAAAGAGACTTAAGCTGCAAACAGCGCAATGATCCACGCGGCTGCACAACAGCAACTCTCCACAGTGCAAGAAGCTGCATACAGAGACTCAGTAACTGAAATGGAGGGTTTTGCTTGGTTTGCCAGCCACTCTAGAAAATAACTGCAATAAATAATTACAATAAAAGGTGGACAGAATGCCAAAGTCATTAAACCAAAACATCCACTCTGTCATGGCTTAATATACACTTTGACACTACTCCTGGTTAAAGGTAACTCCTCCTTAAGTTTGGCAAAACCAACACAATGCCGACAAGATCTAAACCCTTCAGGCCCCACCACCACTAAAACGGTAGGGGAAATTTTCATCCTTTAAGTCATATGAATTATTTCAATCAAATAAAGGGGGGAAAATTGCAAAAAGTCAAGGTATAATCCTTACTTGGGGGCTGAGAAAGACATAATAGATAAGCAAGCAAAAAGGCTTAAAAAAAAGGGAAACATGTATTTCACAGCAGTCCCTAACAGTATGAAACTGGTGAGTCTACAAGGAGATCGAGTCCTCTGAAGCTGACAAGTGTGTGTGTCAGCTGCAAAATACATTTAAAAACAAAAGTAATGTTCAGTGTAAATCCAGCTGGCTCAGCCGAAACATACAGTAATTTTTTTCGTCCCGCTGCCCCGGAGAAAGCAAGAATAAGCAGGCAACACAGTCCTTTTTTCCTTGGAGAAGGGAAAACCAACAGCTGTTTAAAAAAAAAAAAAAAAAGGAAGGGGGGAGTTGTAGGGGAGTCTGGGAATTACTGAACAGGGTTCTACACGAAAAGAAAAAAAATAAATCTGTAAATTGCAGGCAAGCTCTCCACTCCAAAAAAACTCCATCTGTTAGGTGCCGATTCCAAATGAAATGAACTCCGACGGACGTTAAATGCCTAAATATCTTTATAGCCTGTCCTGGTAAACCGGGAAACCCAAGAGAAGCGTGACTACTGCGGAAAAGAAATCATTCGCTTCAGCTATACTCCAAATTCCAGTGGAGCACGGCAAGGAAGCCCCCGGCAGTTAAAGCAAAGCTTCCCCGCTGCAGAACCCCAGGGAGACGGGGGGGCTGTGCTTATTCACAGGGAAGGGCGCGAGAGCCCCGGGAATTATCCAGCTCCGCCGGGAGCCCCTCGCAGGGGCAGGGCAGGGGCAGGGCAGGGGGATCGCTGCGCTCCGAGGGCCGGCAGACACAGGCGGGCCCCGAGGCCCGGCGGGCCGGGGCCGCCCCGGGAGCTGTGGGGGCTCCGGGAGGGGCCAGGCCCGGGCTGGGAGGGCTGAGGGATGGGGGGCGGCTCGCACGTACCTGAGCGCGGCTTCAGGGCCCGGCTGCCGCGGCCAACACCATCCCCGGCGCCGGCCCGGGCAGGAGCGAAGGCTCCTTCGGGCTCCCTCTCCCTCCTCCTCCTCTCCTTCTCCCTCCCCTCTTCCTCCTCCTCCCTCCCCCAGCGCAGATCTCGCGAGAGCGCGGGTGGGGCCGGGCAGTGCGCCCGCGGAGTTCTCGCGAGACTTGGTGGCGGTGGCGGCGGCGCGGGGTGGGCGCTGGCGGCCGGGAGGGCGGCGCCATGTTGGGGCAGCCCCTCAGGGGGAGGGCGTGCCCTGTCCCACTGTGCCCGCGGGGGGGATGAGGCCTGCCGGCTGAGCTGTGTGTCCCCAGGCTCGATTGTTCTCACCTTTTGTAAGCAGAATCACGAATAGGTTGAAAAAAACCTCTGATATCGTCGAGTCCAACCTATGACCCGACACCACCGTGCCAATTAGACGTCCAGTCTCTCCTGAAACACCTCCCGAGAATGATGACTCCACCACCTCCCTGGGCAGCCCATTCCAATACATTCCATTATTTTACAGTGCCCTCAGAGAGCCATGGGAAAGGGCGTGATTCAGTTGCAATATAACAATATTATGTAGTGGAACATAACCAGGCTTGCTGCAACCATTGCCTTAGCGCCTACTTAGATTGATCAACTGTTTGTACGTTCCAGCAGCAGATTAGTGGAAGCAATAGTCAATCAGGTGGGAGTAACAGTGAATCACATGAAATCTGTGTTTAAAAAAAAAAAAAAAAAAAGTATCATAAGAGTGCATTTACTAATTGAGAGTGAATTACCTGGGTATCATAAATTGACCAAAATCTTTAGAAGCTGAAACAATTGCCTTAAATCAGCCCCCTCCACCTGCAAAATAGGTGCGTAAACTTAAAATCTTCCATTTGGTGGCTTCCATTAAACAAGGGAACCAGGCATGAAAGCAGCATCCAGGTTAGAAGGTGTGATAAGGCAAAGCTAGAGACTGAGCACAAGGAAAGTTTGGCTGACAGCTGTTGAAATACTCACTGTGTCCTAAACCTTCACTGGCATGATACCACCACGTCTTCCCCCAAAAGAAACTAGAATTTAGCTTCCTCAAATCTAGTTAAACCAGCACAGAACCCTGGCTCTGAGGCCTTAAATTGGCTTAGTGCTCTGACTGCTCAGCTTTTTCCTCCTGGTACTCCTTCTGGGAGTCTGCAAGGAAAGCTAAAGTGCTTCTTGCCCACCTCCAGTCACCCTCTGGGAAAAGCAGAGGACTTACTCCAAGCTACAAAAAGCTGGCAGGGGCATTAGCCTAACGCTGGCCAGCTGCAGCACTTCCCAGCTCCATCCCTGTCCCCATCAGTCCTGCTCCCAGCTCCTGAGGAGCCTGGCTGCCCCATCACTACAGCCTACAGCCTTTGCCTGGCAAAAGGAACAGTGTCTTGACAGATACCTCAGTGAGGGCAGGACAGTCTAAATACATCTGTTTTGGAGGATGAATAAACACCATCTTACCTCCTTAGGCTTTTCTCTCCAGATCCATGTATTGTTTGGCTATCACAGCACAGCACTGCCGTTCAGGAATGTTCTGAAAACAACCTCCCCCACCAGATGTTGGCTACAAATAGGCTCCAGAGAAAGGGATTTCTTGCAAGACTTCAAAACTGAAGGATCAAACTGTGAGCAGGGTCAGGAGATTGGATGCCAAAAAGGCACTGATGGCATCTGCCTGTTCCTGGGAGTCCGTGGCCACACGGACAAAACATTGGTGCTGTCTGTTTTTTGAGAGATCAGCTGTGCCTGGGTGTAACCAAACCCAGGAGTCCACGTGCAATTCCAGACACACCTCTGGGGCTTTTCCTGCCTATCTGTAGTGTTGGCCCAAGGGCATTTCCCTCCTGATGGGTTTTCATTGCCTCGGGTGCTGCTCCTGCCATCAGGTGGCAGCAGATGGGGCATGGCCAGGTGATAAAATCTACTAAAGCTCCCCAAAGAGCCCAACATCCAGGCTTTTTTCCCCTCCCTGTCCCCAAATTAAATGGAATGAGGTTTCATTTGGACAATGTCCTTGCAAGGATGTCAGTGCAACACCTGTACTGTTGTATTACAGAAAAACGTAGTAAAAAACGTGATGACAGCTTGTCTGCTTCTGTTATCTACTTTATTAAATGGCATGCAAGAAAATAATGTATACAGGCAAATATGCATAATATACTCTGTAATAAATAGCAGGTAAAAAAATAGATTTTCTTGAAAACATTTTGAAAACCGTCAAAATAAAGATATCCAATAAATACGTTCTTTCAGGAGGAGCATTTCTTCATCTCCTCCTGAGACATTTATAAGTGCACAATAAACCCCAATAATTTAAAATATTGTGAAAAAGAATTGTTCTCTGAGCTCACATGAGTAAGAAAAAAGGCTTAAATAGGAAGTACAGTCCAGCGATGCAATAGCAGTTGTTTTTCCCAGTCCTCAGGGTGTCCTTTGGGGCCACTGATGGGGGCTAAGAGCATTGCTCCTGCAGGGCAGCGCATTTCAGGTCTTCCAGCACCTCGAGGACGTGGCGGACGGCGTAGTCCTGCAGGCAGCCGATGTTCTCCTGCAGCGGGGACGGGGGCTGGGTTAGCGCTGGGCTCAGGGTGCAGCCGTGCGGCCGCCGATACCCCGAGACCCCCTGGCCCCGCTGACCCGACTTACCCTTCCCATGGCCTCCTGCAGGTTCTGCAGCCACTGGCTCACTTTCCCCGAGGGCTGATGCGAGGGAGACACCTGCAAGGGAAGCAGCGGGGTAAGGACCAGTGACAGCACCAGGGCTGTGGAGCTGGCAGGGAGTGGGGAGGCTCAGGGGCACTCACACAGCCCCGCAGATGCTCCCGGGCGTGGGTGAGGAAGTCCAGGGGCCGCTGGCGCGTCTTGGTGAAGCCGGGGTGGGTGGAGAGCTGCAGCATCATGATGGTGAAGTCCAGCTCGGCTTCTACCAGCACCACTCGGTCGGGCACCTGCGGGCAGGAGTGTGTGGTTAGGGACACAGAGAGCCAGGGCTGGAGGAGGGGAGGTCTCGAAGACCTGCCCGGGGTGCATGTGAGGGTGGGACTGGCTGACAGGAGAGGTGAGCCCCCTTGTCACAGCATCGCCTCGCTCTTACCGACAGCTGTGCCAGCATCCACTCCCGATCGAAGAGCCAGATGTTGCAGTTGCGGCCCGGCTGCCTGATCTTGCGCTGCCGGTACAAAGCAAGAGAGAGACTGAACAACAGCCGCTGTGACTTCTGGCAATGTGCAACCCTGCCAGCCGTGTGGGGTTTGAAACCAGGACAAAATTTGGCCCAGCATCCTTCATGTCCCCAAACTCTCATGGAAAACATCCTCCTCCTCCCCACACTTCTGCAGAAAACATCCACCTTGTCACTCAGGTCTCAAATTCAGCATCTCCTGTGCCTTGCCCCCCTCCCCAGCCCAGCCCCAGAGATACTCACAAACTCCTTCTGCATCTTCTTCACAGCCTCCTTCTCATCCCTCTCGATTTGCCTGTACCTGAACAGGCTGCAGCCCTTCCTCAGGGGGTCGTGGGGAAAGGCAGCCCCCAGGCTGACCTCCAGCACCAGCACAAGCAGTGTGGCAAGGCGGAGACACAGCATTTTGTTGACAAGAGCTCGATGGTGAGTGAGGGGTTACGACGGGTTGAGGAGGTTTTGGTTCAAGATGCCAGAGAGGATAAACCGGAGGACTCCGGGCAGGATTCGCTAAAGTCCTGATGCAGAGGTGCCTGACAGGTGCCACAGGTGGCTCTCTCGGCTGTGGAGCTGCAGGGCTGTCCAGGGGAGCAGCTTTGCTCTGCTGGCTGTGGATGCCTTGCTGCCCCATCTCTCCAGCTTTTTATATTCCTTCCACCGATGTGTTTGCGCTTTCAAGTTAGCCTGGAAAGTCCGGCGCCTTGCTGGGTTCAGCAACCTTGCAAACAGGAAAACGAAAGCTTTCCCGCCTCCGTTACCTGCCCCGCTGCGTCCAGCCCTGCCCTGCTCCGCCTCGACGGGGCGAGCGCGCCGGCGGTGAGGGATGCTCGGGCTGCCTCCAGCACATCCCCCCCGAGGGGGCTGAGCGTGGGGACGCTGCTGCCACACCGAGGGGCACAGAGGTGCTGGCAAGTGCGGGGACACCGGGCACGACCCAGCCCCGCGCCACGCTGAGCGCTGCGGGAGACCCCGGGCACGCAGCCCCCCAGGGACAGCAGACTTGGGGTGGCCAGGAGCGTTTCAGTGCCTCCTGAATGGCAGCAGGAGTCCGTGCCTCGGTTTCCCCATAGGAAGGGCCATGGCAAGGAGTGGGGGGAAGCAGCAGCAGGGAGCAGGCACTGCACGGCGCAGGCTGCAGGAACGAGCTTTATGTCTGTGTTATCCCCGGGGACCAGGCTCGCCACCAAAACAGGGGAAAAGGTGAAGGCAGAAGCACTTCCACCGAAGGTTTTCCAGGTGGGACACAGAGTTGTGAAGGGAGGCTGCCGGAAATGAGCAGGGCTGCCACCCTTGAAGCCGCTGGGACTGGCCGGGTTCCCCTCCTTGTTCAACCTGGAAACACAAATATGGTGTATTGACATCCCTCCAGTGACAGGAGGAACGGTGCCCCCGGTCAGCCAACTGCCCCTCTCTCTCGAGGTAACCTCCTGAGATCGCTGCTGGGCTTTTAGTTTCGTGCATTCATCAAGCATTAAATACGGAAAATGAGGGCAATGACTGGATCTAAAAAGCCAAGATGGTGAGGCAGCAACAGGCATAAATGCACTTTGCAGCGTGTCGTGTGGTGGCCGTACACAGGAAAACACAGATCCAGAAGGACTTGATTTTTAGTGTTCACATTTGGAAATAAACTGCTGATTTCAAGGAGTCCAAGAGAACAAGAAAAGTTCTTGAGCAAGCTTGTAGAAAGATACACCTATGGGTGGGCAGAGTGGCATGGATGTGGTCATGGAGGTGGAATCATCCAGTGCAGCCCTTGCTCTGGCAGGGTCAGCTGGCATGGGTTGCCCAGGGACTGTGTCCAGTTTTAAATAACTCCAAGGATGGAGTGCCAACTCCACAGCCTCTCTGTGAGTGTTCTTGTGTGTTCAGATACCCTTTCACATGTTTCAGGTTGTAGCTTTTTTCTGCTGTGCTGGCAGTAGGCACCACCAAGAGTCCCTAAGCCTCCTTTCTCAGCCTTTCCTTGTAGGAGAGATGTTCCTGTCCAACATCTTCATGACATTGATTCGACTCTATCCAATATGTGCCATGTCTCTCTCCCCCTGGGGAGCCCAAACCTGCACCCAGGACCCCAGGGGTGGCCTCACCAGTGCTGAGTAAAAGGGAAGGATCACCTCCCTCATCCTGCTGGAAACACTTCTCCCAGTGCAGCCCCAGATACCATTCACTTCTTTGCCACAAGGACATGTTTCTGGCTCATGTTCAACCTGGTGCCCACCAGGACCCCCAGGTCCTTTTCTGCCATGCCTGGTTTCTATCTGGGCAGCCCCCAGCACGTCCTGGTGCCTGGGGCTGTTCCTCTTCAGGTGCAGGACTTTGCCCTTCCCCTAGTTGAACTTGAGGATGTTCCATCAGCCCATTTCTCCAGCTTGTCTAAGTCCCTGTGGACAGCAGCATGACCCTCTGCTGTGTCATCCACTTGTGCCAGTTTGGGGTCACCACAAAACTTGGTACAGAGGGTACCCTCTGCCTCATTGTCCAGATAATTTCTCAAGAGGCAGAGCAGAACCAGCTGTTGACTCACAAGGTCCATCCAGCCCTTCCTCTGCTCCAGCAGCATCTCAGATTGCCCAGGTCTTTCCTGGAAAACTATGATGGAAATAAAGAAGAGGAGGGGGCAGCATGGATGGGACAGCGAGTATTTCCACCTTGACTGAGCTGGATGCAGATACAGCTTGGACAAGAGCCAGGACAGTAAAAGATGGTGGTAAAAGCGTGGTGGGCACAGGTTTTCCATCCACAGATATGGCCACAGGACCAGGCTCCCGTGCCAGCCTGCCCCCTGGAACAGGCAGAATGAGGTCAGTAATTAAAAGTCTGAGCTCGGGGCTTGGCTCCTTTGCCTGCCCTCTCAGTAAACAGGACAACAGCTCTGTGTTTCCTTTCTCTCCCATTAAAGAAAACCACAGACTTAGAAGAATAATTTTGATTCAGTGCAACGAAGTCCATGATTGATATAGCTCTGAAATAAAAGCCCAAACCAGCATAAATAATGCCATGTATGTCGCTCAAGCGAGGCACAGCTCAGCTGGAACAGACAGCACCTCAGCAGAAAATCCCAGCAGTTGTAAAAAAGAAATGTGCCCCCCACTGAGAGAGGGGTGATCCCCCATGAACCACTGTCCCACACCACAGATCCCTGCCGAGACGCTCTTGGGTCACCCGTCTGGCCACAGCAGCATCACATCCCCGTGGGACCCAGCTTTGGCTCCTGTTTCCCATCACTGTGGCTTTTATGTCCCAGGTGTCGTTTCTGTTTGGAGAAGTAAAGCGAAACCTCGTGTCTTCACACACGCAAAAGGAAATTCAGAGGCACCGAAGAAAAGCGAAAGCTGGGGAGGTGAAGCTGGGCCCTGAGGGTGGGTGGGATGGAGGGGTGAGGATCTCTCCTGGGGGCCTTGCTCAGGTATTTGTGCCACACTCACCTGCAGCCACAGCCAAACCCCCAGGAGCCTGGCTGAACACAATCAGATTTTTCCCAGTGGGATGTGGGCTTGCCATCCTGGGCCTTGGCGTGCGTCTCACACGGTGATGGTGATGCCATGCTCCACCATATGCCAGCCCAGCCAGCGAGGCCTGGCTGAATTCCCCACGGCTCCTCCAAACCGTGCCAGTGGCAGCTCCTGCCGTGGCAGGGGAGGGTTCCCCCAGGCCAGGGTGGGCTGGGGACACCACGCAGTGCCTGGCGGGGTGTGCAGGACATTGGGGACCCACCGCAGCCATCGCTCCAGCCCCGGCTGCAGGCACTGCTGTGCCAGGAGAGCGGCACGGAGGGGGATGGTGGAACCCCCTGGATTCACGTGGCCCAGCAGGCTGGAGCCACTTGAGCTTGCTCGGAGCGAGAAATCCCAGGTGCGTAGGAAGTTCCAGGTGCGAGAAGGAAAGTGAAACGTGGCTGTGGACAGGGCACCGGCACTACGTAAGGTAATTGCTCCGTGGTGACTCATCAGCCGCTACGTGGCACGAGCGTGGGAAAATCCTGGGCACAGGCAATGCCACTGGAGTGGGCAAGGATGAGCCCAGGCGGCTCCTTCCTGACCCTTTCTGTAGCCAGCAGGCTTGTCCGGGAGGAATTGGCTCCTGCTAAAGTAACTGGTCTGGGAAAAGAAGATAGAAGGGACAAAAAGTGTGTCCCAAAAAAGCCATCTTTAAAAATAAACCCCCATGTGGTGTGTGGGAGACTTGCCCAGGGCCTGATGGTGCCGGGACCGGGGACATCAGGTGGGCTCCACTTGGCAGCCGTTGCCCGACCTGTCCCTGCCAGCCCCGGGTGTCAGTGCCACCAAAGTGCCCCTGGCCCAGCTACGTGCCCCAGAACCCTTCAGCACCTCTCTGCACATGAGCTGTCACTGCCCTGATGGTTTGTGCCGTGCCCGAGCATGGTGGTGATGCAACCCCCGGTGTTACATCACAGCCCATCACCTGCTGCACCATCCTGGGGACGCACAGAGGGAAGGGCTGAGAATTACTGAGGTAATTACTGAGCAGACTTAAACCAACTTGTTTTAAATTTAAATTCAAAATGAGGAGAAAACCCAAATGCTTTTTCACCAGAACCTTTGCCCACTACTGTAGGGACACAGCGTGTTCCCTCCTGGGGGTTCCCTCCCTGCCCTGGCATGGCTGTGGGTATGCCCCTCTCCAGGACAAGCCCGCCAGCAGAGCTGGAAATGCCCCAGCCCAGGCAGCCAGTCAGGCCCCTGGCACCCCAGCAGCGGTGTCACCCTGGGAAGAGACACCTCTTGTGCTCCCTCCAGAGGTGACAAGCCACCAGCCCCTTCCTTACCTGGCAAGGGAGGCCTGATGGCTGCTGCTGGCCCAAACCCATCCTCACATCCACAATGGGCTTCTCACCCCACAGCTGTCCTCCCAGGACCCCACCACCCTCCTGGGGGCAAAACCTTTGCTCCCCATCCTGGAAAAGCTGAGCCAGGGCTCAGTGACCCCAGGGGAAATATGCCCAGGGCCCAGCACCCTTGCCAAGCTGAGGAGGCTCAGTCAGGACCACACCTGAGAGCGCAGGACCACAGTGGAAGCACCTCTGGGCCCTCTAAGCCCCTCTCCAGGTGTGTTTTCTGGGGCAGGGAGCAGATGTGTCACTTCTACCTTTGTACATTGCTAAGAAAGGCAGAACAGAGTGAGGGCACTGCCCTTCCCAGGGTGCCAGGGCAGCCTTCTTGCCATGGGCAGAAATTACAGGAAAGGGTACAGTCCTCACAGGGGCTGTGCCTTAACTTGAAATATGCAGAAAGCAAACAGGAGGGGACGTGTGCTGGGCTCTGAGCCCTCATGTCTCTATCTGCCCCTCCCCAAAATCCAGCCTCTAATCTTCCCTTTGCAGTGTGGGTGGGTAATAATGGGCACAAACCTGCTCCCCCTGTGGCAGCGATCCCAGAAAGGCTCCTGAACTGTGCTGAGGGCAAGTGACTCACTAGGGTCACAAAGCACTCCTGGGGCAGGTTAGCTGCTGTCACACCTGCACCAGCCAGCTAAGCACCAGGGATGGGGGCATGTTCTGACTGAGAACAGCCCCTTTCCAGGTCAGCCTTCAAAGACAGCACACACCTCCCTCAGCCTGGGCAGGGAAAGGGGCAAATCATCTTTCCTATCCAAAACCCATCTCCCCCATAGAGCAGGAGGCCACTCAGGACCTAAGACACTGAGTGTCTTTGTAGCACAATTATTTCCCCCCTGCAGGTGCTCTACAGCCTCTCTTAAAAAGAGGAACCACAGGCAACTTTTTATCAGCTTTTTAATTATTATTAATTGTGTAAGAAATTCAGCGAGTTTCACGGCAAGTGCTGTGATTCTCTTCCCCACATATAATCCAACCACCACCAGCCCGAAACGGGACCCTTCCAGTGCCAAGGGGGCAGCACTGGGCACACTGCAGGACCAAAGTGGGTAGGAGCCCCAGAAGCATAAAACCCCCTCTGCCTTCCACAGAAAATCAAAATCACTGAAATCAGCATCAATCTTCGCAAAGAATAAGAGCGGCTACAAGTGGGGTATTAGGAGACAACCCACGTTTTCGTTCCATTTTAGCACCAGAGCAGGAGGGTTTCCTCTTTCACCGTCCCTTGCACCCCAGCACACAGACGTGCCTCACCAAGAACTCCACTGGGGTTTCGCGGGAAGAAACACCCATTGTCTCCAGCATCCTGCAACGAGAAGCAGAGGATGGGTCTCGCCCTGTCCGGCCAGCTCCCACCTGACCCCCACAAGAGACAGGTCTCTTCCACCCACAGCACAAAGGCCTGGGTGGCAGATGCTTCCAGCTGCTGCACAAGGGTTGTTCTGGTCAGCGAATAAATGAGCAGGCACAGGGATGCCTCTCCTTCCCAGAAGGCCCTTGTTGGAGACCAAAACAGGTTGGTGAAGATGCAACCACCAATATTTTTTGTGCCCTCTGCTAATTAAGAATGAGGCAAAGAAACTCAAGATACCTCTGACACAAGACTTCCATGGATATATCAGTGCAAGTATACCACAGAGTTCCATGGACTTAACATTTAAGGATCTGCTGCTTAACCCTTGACAGACACCCATCCACACCTGGGGGAAAGGAGGGAGTGTACCCCCTCACAGCTCACTTCTAGCTTTGGAGGGGTCTCCACAACCTCACTCTTCGTGCACTGTAGAAGACAGGTCCTCCACATCCTGCTTTTTTACCCCAAGCAGTTTTCTCACCTCTTTTCAGTCTCTTGGAGGAGGGACTTTGCAGCTTCAGGGTCATTCTTCAGAAAGGTTTGATACGGAGAGGCAGACTCCATGTAGCCAACCACACCCTCGACAGTCATGGGGATACCGTCATAGATATCAGTGATTCTGCAAGAGAGATGGGGAAGAAAGGAGCATTGACAAGTTAAATCTTTAAGGTGGGGAAACACAGATAACAGATTAACGTGGTGGTGAATAAAGTATCTGACACCATCAAAGGTCCAGCAGATGGAAATAACATCCAATTGCGGCATGTGGTGGGTCAAGAGCTCTGACTGCTGTGCTACTGGAGAAGCAAAGATGGTTCCAGGGACCATCTCACATAGTCTGTGACTCGGACAGCCCTTTTGGTACAGGCCTACCTGCAGACCCCCATCCCCTCCAGCATCCAGAACACCAACACCTTCACACCACCACTATCACCACATTTTTGCCTTGGTGGGGAGGCAGGCACTGGCTCCCCAGAGGTCTAGGGCACGTTTGCTATCTCACTATTTTTCCTTTCACCCATGAAGTGACCTGCCCAGAAACCTCAAACTGTGCTAGACCACCAACTGAAAATCTAACCCAAGGCTGCCTCGAGCAGGAGGGGTCCTCACAGCCCTCAGACCCCACTCGATGGCTCAGTGCAGAGCCACATAAAAGCCAGGAGCAGTGGGACTGCAGCCACACAGCTCTGTCTCGATGCACAGGGGTTTGTTGATCCCCAGCAGCTGGGCTGAGGTTCTGGCAAACCCTGGGCTGGAGGCAGAGAAGCCCCCAGAGGGGAAGAGACACTCCCTTTATCCACTCCTGGTGCTGCACCGAGAGGGTTCTGCTCACCTCTTCTTGTCTGGGAATGGCAAGGCCTCGAAGATCTCTTTGTAGTTTTCCAAGACGAATTTTAGTCTATTATGTGAGTATTTTAAAATCTGGTCCCAGCACTGTAAAGACAGAGTATTAAAAAAAGCACAAAACCATTTGAAGTTCTCAATTTCCACGTAACTCAGGTTTGGGCCTAAACCTGACACATTCACACTTGGCCCTTTTTATTTTTTAAATACTCATGGCATTTAAATACACCAAAATTCTCACTTAGTGCCCAGAATTTAAGGATGCCATTTTATTATAGAGATAAGAGTTCTGTTTTTCTCCCTATGCTGCTCTTACTGATTGTGCAAAGACTCCTTTTATCCAGTTGTTAAAACACCCTTTGCCAAGAAAGATTACTAAAAAAGGACTTCTCCCAAACAGTTTATACTTCCCATTCTTTTCATTGTGATCAACAGCAGGAGAAGTATCTTTGACAATACCAGCCCCCAGATATGCTCTGGCACCTTTCTCAACCCTACCAGAGCCTGCCCTATCAATCCTGGTGTCCCTTTTCTCCTCATCCAGCCAGATTTAGCACTGCTTTGGAGCCTCTAAATCCCACCTCAGCCTTGCCCCTGCATTTAACCATCCCTCTTCTGCTCCATCCTGCATTAGGATTCCTCTCTGCACCCAAGCAATATGCATTTCCCCATGCCCAGACCGAGCCCTGAGGTTTGGGTTCCGTCCCCTCACCTCCTTGAAGATTTTGGTGAGCTTCTCAGAGCAATCTCCGTAGCGCACGCTCATGTCCACGGTGTAGGTGCTGATGGCCACGCAGCCGCCCGGCTTCACCACCCGCTGCACTTCCTTCATGAACTTCTGGATGTCAAACCAGTGCGCGGCCGTGAACGAGGCCAGGACATCCACAGAGGCGTCCGGGAACGGCAGCTCCTCTGCAGGGCACACGCTGGGAGCGGGGAGGAGAGAAAGACATCTGTGATACGGGAATCAGAGGGTAGGGCATGGAGCCAGTGGGTATTTTTTGGAGTCCACGAGGACTGTGTGGGATGCAAGACCACGGCTACAGGAAGCCTAGGATAATGCCTGTTCACCTCGGGAATTCCACCAAATAAGGCTTTCCTTGGTGTCATCTGGGTCTTACAACAAGCGTACTCACAAAACACCACTCCCGAATGTTGCCTCGGGCTGAGCTCACTCTCCCGACACTCACAGGTAGGAGACATTGGGCGTGGAGAGGGTCTCCTTGGCCTCCTGGATCTGTGCTTCACTGATGTCCGTCCCCACCACCTTCTTGAAGTGCTCCGCAAGGAAGCGGGTGCCTTGTCCGGTCCCACAGCCGACGTCCACCACCAGCTCAGCAGGGATTGCCTTCTGTGGGGAGGAGCAGATGCATCTCAGTGGGCAGCCACCCAGTTTCTGTGCTTTTACCCCACTGCTTCCCACAGCATCCACTCAGGAACAGCCTTGGCATGGCAGAACCTGTGGAAGGCCTCTCCTGTGCCCCCGTCTTGCCTTGAACCCTGGTAATTTGTCATACCCTGTGGCACCAATCAAGATAACACTCCCAGCAAGGTAAACACCACCACCCACAAATAAAGATACCCTGGATTTTTCCTCCAACCTGGCCATACCCTACTCACCTTTTCCTGCAGGTAGGCAAGGATGGTTTGCTGCAGCTCTTTCCCGGGTGCAAACCTGTATTTTTGGTAGACGGCCGCATGGCCTTTGCCCTCGAACATCTGGGTGCTCATGCTTGGATAACCCGGCACCTGGGAAGAAGTAGGAAGCCGAGATTGTCACCAAGGGGTCAAATTCCTGCACCTCTTCAGCCTGTGACCGCAGGCACTAAAGCCTCCAATTCCCGGCGGGGCCCCCGGGAGGACTTTGCCCGGGAGGCTCCGGGCAAAGGAATGTAAACCTGCTCTCTGAGAATCCCTCCCACGGCTGTAAACTAATCCCAAGAGGAAACCAGCAGCATCCGATGCTGAAAAACTTTCCAGGTTTTTAAGCAATCCTTTACTCCTTTGCTTCCCCAGCCCCAGTCACCCCCCCGGGTGTTTTCTGAAATAAGTCACCATTAAAGTAGAACAGTTTGGGTTTGGTTTTTTTTCTGTGGGGGGTTTCTCCGGAGGTTTTTTGGGGGTTTGTTTGGTTTTGGGTTTTTTTTTAAGGAAACCCATGTTTTAGAATTAACACAAACACAACAACTCGGCCCTGCGCTTTCTCAACCTCCTGGTATTTTTTGGCCTCTCGCGGACAGCGCACAGGGCGTTCCCTTGCTCGCCCACTAATGTGCCCCCCCCGTGATGCTCCGGGACCCCTCGGTCCCCGCATCCCCGCGGCGGTCCCGGCCCATCCCGCCGCACCGGAAGGCTCTCAGCCGCATCCTGTTTGTCTCGGTGCCCGAGCAGGCGCCGTGCGGGACAGCGACAGCTCCCTGGGCTGGTGAGAGACCCCAGGAACCTGCCAGAAGGGCTCCCTGCCCCGTCTGACGGGACCCAGCACCCTCTCTGTGCCCACGGCGAGCGAGGCGGGCAGCTGCGACATCGGACAGTCAAGGGTTATTCTGCCTTGGGGTGCAGGAATAGATGCTCCAACAGCGCAGGGCTGGAGCTCCCAACAGGGAGCAGCAGCGCTGCCGAAGGCCTTTCTGGAGGGATCCTCCAGCTGCTTTCCGAGCGCTCAGAGGAGCCTCCTTCCCCCAGCGCCCCCCGCCCTTACCGCCGACAGCCCCCGCAGCTCCCGACGCCTCTCCGTGCGGAGCTCCAGACCAGGAAAAGAGGGAAGAAAGGCGGGCGATGGCCGGCGCCGCCCCCGGTGCCTACCGCCCACCCCGCAGCTCCTCCCTGCCCGGCCGGAGCGCAGTCGGAGGGGCTAAAATCCAGAGGGCAGTTCCAGAGGCTCATCCCATCGAAATGCCGGAGGCCCAGAGCCTTAGTCTTTACACAGTTCCGTAGTTGCTAATTACAGAGAGCTTTCAAAATGCCCACGGATCCCGGGGGTCGCTCAGCAGCCCCCACGTCTCGGGAAGCAGATACAGAGCCCAGAAGATGCTTACAAGGTAGCAGGAGAACAGGATGCAAAGCTGCGGGCAGCCAAAGCCGTACCTACAGCGCTCTGTCTGCACTGAAGGCCCCTCCCATCATCCAGCGGAAAGAGAACATGCAGAAATAGAGTCCCCTGCACCAACGTGAAGAGCGCAGAGCACAGTATTTCGGGACTAGGCAATCTGCCCTGCTTTGGATTTACTCCTTTGCTAAGAGTAATGCTAATTCCATGCAGCTGAAGGCAGAGAGTCCTGGTTCTCTGGAAGCACTCAGTTTGTACTCTGCACAGCCCTAAAGCCACTCCTAACTTTAAGAGAATACAGGTGGTATTTAACTGATTATCCTCTGGCTACTGAGACCAAACACCTGCAGTGCAGAGGAGTCCTTTGCTAGGTCTCCCAACCTTTGCCACACTGGATTCAGCTGTCTTCGAGTCCCTATTCCAGCCCTCTTGTATTCCCCAAGTGACAATGAATCTCTGATGGCCCTGCACCATGCAGCAATAAATTGGTATTCTTAACCCTTGGGTTGCTGAGCCTTAGTCCAAACATGAGTTTAAACACCAGGCACAGGGAATCAGACACTGTCCATCATCCCTACCAGGCCACTTACTAAATCCACAGACTTTAAGGAATGTAAAAGTGCCCTGGGGTCTTCCCAACTTGTTCCCCAAACCTACAGGCCATGTGGATTTGAATTACATAGCAGGGTCCTGGATTAATAGACCTCCAAACTCTGACCTTAATCAGAAAAGGACAATTTAAGATCCTTCATCCCTCCACACTTGCTCTCCTGAAGTCCTGTGCCCGTTGGCTCTGCCCCCTCCCCACCTTTGTGTCTCTGCAGAATGCAGTGGCAAAACAGCTCCCAGAGCTTTGCTTTTCCAAACAGGATCACTACGCCAAGCCCTAACCTCATCAATGGCCAGGATATAGCACTTGAGTGCTTTTGATGCCTCCCTGTGCTCCTGCACTGCTGGCATTCCCTGCCCATGCCATGTCCTCACCTTGCTGCACCAATCCAGGTGTGTGGCCATCGTCCTCACTCAGCCACTGGGGTTTCACTGCAGCCTCTGGGACTATTTCCAGGGAGATGTTTGGGTTTCTTTCACTGCCAATGCATCTCACTCTGAAATTTATTTAAAAAAAAAAAATCAATCTATTTTAGGGAAAAAAGCTCAAAGGAGACTCCTGTCAGTTTGCCTGTGTCACTTGTTGGTATTTTTCACCACCAGCACCATGGTTTCCACAGCACTGAAATGTCTTATCTTGATATGGGAAAAGCCACTTTGTTTCTATTCTTGTGGTTCGTTTCACTGTACATCAGTAAATATTGTACTGAATTCTTTTCATCCCAGGGAAAGAGTGCTGCCTCCTGAAAACAAAACAGCTGACATCCCCTCAGCCAGATGCTTTGATATTGCTGAAGATTCCCTTTTCCCTCCTACCTTGTGAGAAAGAGCTGCTCTGTTTCATCCAGAGTACAGATGTCCCTCTCAGCCCAAGCCTGGCTCTGTAACTGTGTTCATGCTGTCCCCAGCAAAAATTTTCTGGCAGAAAAATCTTCCCTAATTTCACCTGGAGAACACTTACCTGGCTTCTTTCCTGCAGCTGCAAAACAAGTTACAAGCCTCATGAACACCTTCTAATTAATTATGTCTATTGCTCAAGTGGAAAGCTAATTCTCATTTATTTTCCTGCTCAAGCACTGCCAGACACACCACGCTACATTTTTCAGGGGGTCTCCCAATTTTAGAGGATCTGAGAACTAAAACAATTGCACAAAGTCTTGCTCAGTGGGTTCAATTCTTCCCCTTCTCTGTGGACAATGGAAAACATTCCAGGTCTCACCTGTCTGCAGGAATTTAAGAAAAACCCTCAGCTCTGACCATCTGCATCAGAGGTGCCCCTTTGGGCATCTCCCAGGCTTGGGAGATTTTCCCCTGTTTATTTGTTCTTTTATGGAAAAGGAACAAGATTTATTACCACAATGGGGAATAAAGGGATAGGAAAATACTTGGTAATTCTATCAGGATCTTTTTTTAAACATATAGGGCTCAGACTTTAAATTAATGAAGAACACAATTCTCTTGGCTTACAAGCAGCAAGGCATGGATAAAATCTCCTTGTAGGGAAGGGGGTTAGCCACAAATTAAGGATGTCGCAGCTGATTGCACAGCTGCCTGTTAGAGCTGTGCCTCAAGGTCTTGGCTGGGACTGGGGCTATCCTTACCCTCTCCCTGGCAGCTCTGCAACCCAGGAAAAATCAGTGCCTATGTGAAAAAAGAGCCCAGATGAATGAGACCCCCAGAGGATCAATCAGAGAGGGAGATGGAAATCTCTGCAGCTGTGACTATTTTTGGGGAACTTCAATTGCCGGATCCGTGCAATTGTAGCCGGCATGTCGGCTGGTTATTGTCGTGCTCAAGCACACAAAAGGCTGGGGGAGAAATAAAGGCAGGCAGGGGCACGCTCAAGGGCAGGGGAGGAAGCCTGCAGAGGAGAGCGCCCTTGACTGTGAAATCCTGCCTCGCCCCTTCGCTCGTCCGGCCATTAATCCTTCCTGATGGAATGACTGATGTGCAGCGCCTGTGGGAGCTGCGAGCCCAGGCTGAGAGCAAAGCCCCAGCACTGGGATCTTCCACAAACAATAAAAACAAGTCCTTCTCCCATAGTATCACCTTTTCCCTAAGGAAGATGGATCTTGGGGACGATGAATGAAATGAAATTTAGAAGTCACCTGAGAATGCGTGGCAGAGGACACCGAGATCTCCCATTCCCCATGCAGGGTCCAGAGGCTCCTCCATTGCTTCCTGGCTCATCTTACCTCTTTACTTGCTGACAAAGCATCACCATCAGCATATCACTGTGTCCTGTCCATCTGTAACTGCACAGCCATCGATCTCTCATTTCCTGATGGCCTTAAGCAGCCTGAACACCTCAACTCGCCCTGGTGGCACCACAGCCCAGTGCTGCCGCCTCTCGGCCCAGGGGCTTCCCCAGCTGCCTGCACAGAAGCATGAGATGATGATTTTGGTGTTTTGGGGCACAGCTGGTTCTCGATGGGATGCTGCCAGTCCTGCCAGATTCGCTGCGCTCTTGGCTTTTGCTGCTGGAATTTGGCACCATCCCAGTGCAGCAACTTGGAGAGAGAGCCAGGTGGGAGAAGGAGCCCAACTGTATTTTGGCAGTGGGGTTTCTCTTCTCCTTACCAGAAATGCATATTTTTGGGCACTTGGGAGCAAAGAAGGTCTCAGAGAGGGACAGAGGGCTCAGTCTTCAGCACTTTCTGGAGAGCATCAGTTGTGCAAACTGAGGTTAAACACCTCAGACTGTCTGGCAATAGCTGAGCAGCTCCGTGCACCTCAACCTTCAGCTTCAGCCCCTGCATTTTGGGTTCCCGGGGGGGCCCAGCACTTCATTATCCAGCACTCCTGGGTGTCCAAGAGGACATGATCCCCTGCTGATGGATTAACATTTCTGGAATTAAAAAGAGGCAGAGAAACATGAGCATAGATTGATCTTATTTCACCTTTCCTCTCATGCACAGGCTGGAGGATATATGAGGATATAGTAGATGATATTATTATATCTGCTGACATAAGGAAAAAAAAATCCAGTGGTGTTGGGAAGCTGCTGTAGTAAAATTAAATAACTCTTGGGGATGTACGTGGCCAAACCAGACTTGGGTCTGGCTGATGCCTGATGGGCTGTTCTGAAATGCAAAGAAATCTGTGGAGATTAAATGAGATCCAGAACCGTCTTAATTCAGAGTTTAAGCTTTTTCTTCTTTGGAACCCAGCTAAGGCATGTGATAGGAACATTCACTGTAAGATGGGGAGAAATAAAGCTGAAGGGAGCAATATTTTCAGCTTTCCTCTCCTTCCTCCAAAAGCCCCTGTACCATGAGACAGCCAGGCCCATCATCCCCTGCCCATTTCTCATCGCAGTTCTCAGGATCACAGCCCTGTGTTGCAAAAGCCAAGTGGAAACAAACCTGGAAGTACAGTGGCTCAGGGGGCTGGAAAGGGGGAATTTTTCGCTCTGGCCATGCTGTGCTGGCCAGTGATGGCCTAGTTCAGTGGTGGCACAAGGGCTGGAGGCTGCAAATGCTGTGCAGCGTGGCATCGAGGAGGGGGCAGGAGGGCACAGAAGGGTGCAAGAGGGTGCAGCAGGGTGTGTCAGGCTGTGTGAGGATGCAGGAAGGTGAGGGAGCATGGAGAAGGGTGTGAGAGGATGCAAGAGGGTGCATGAGGACGCTCCTGGAGGGTGTGGGAGGATGTGGGAAGGTGCAGGATGTGCATGAGGATGCAGTGGGATGGAGGAGGGCACGTAGGGATGTAAGAGGGTACAGGAAGATGCAGCAGAGATCAGAGGGGTATAGGAAGGTGCTTCAGGATGCAGAAGGGTGCTGCAGGGTGCTGTAGGGGAGAATGCAGGAGGAATGTGCAGCAGGAGAGTGCAGGGACACGCAGGAGGAAGATGCAGGAGAAAGCTGAAGGTGGATGGTTAAAGCAGATGCAGGAGGGTGCAGAAAAATGCAGGAGGGTGCAGAGCTTTGCAAAGGGGTGCGGGAAGATGCAGGAGGAAGGTGCAGGAGGGTGCAGGACCAAGATGCAGGAGGGCGGCTCCAGAAGGATGCGGGAGGGCGCAGCAGCCCGTCCCTGAGCAGCCGGCGGGGCCGTGCCGTGCCGGGCAGGGCGGCAGGGGCGGTGCGGAGCCCGGCCCGGCCCCGCTGCGGGGGAGGGCCCGCCCGGGCCGGCCCGCCCTGCCCGGCTCTCCGGCGGCGCCGATGGGGCTGCGGGCCTGGCTGCGATCGCTCGGCGGCTGCTGCGGCTGCTGCGGCGGGGAGGCGGCACCGCCCGAGAAGGAGCCCCTGCTGAGGTGAGACCCCCGGCCCGGCCCCGCGGGGTGGGGGGATGCGCCCACCCCAGTCCCCCGGTCCCCAGCCTGCCGTGAGCCCCTCTGTGCCCAGACTCGCTCCCAGCGCTGTCACTGGGGCTGGGCATCCCCTGCCGGAGCGCTCAGGGCTCCGGAGGGATCTTCCCCTGGCGGGAACGAGCAGCTTCCCGTGCCCTTTCCGCCTGGGTTGGCTGTCACAGGGGCTGGGTTGCTCCTACCAGCCCACGGCGCGATACCCACTGGGATGCTGAGGCACCGGCGAGGGGGGTTGTACGGGGAAGGTTTAGGGAGTGAATCGAGAGCAGCATCTCTTCGGTGTTCCCCCCGTGATGCTCGTCCACAGGGACGGTCCAGCGCTTGTGTTTCCATGGTGGGATTTCAACAGAGAAGGATGAGACACTGAACAAAAAGGCATCAGGTCTCACCGTTAGGCAGCTCTATGCTTTGCAAAGCTCAGTTCCCGTGTCGGGATCGTAGAATCACAGAATGGTTTGGGTTGGAAGGGACCTTGAAAATCTTCTTGTTCCATCCCTGTGCCACCTCCCACTAGACCAGGTCGCTCCAAGCCCCGTCCAACCTGGCCTTGGACACTCCCAGGGATGGGGCAGCCACAGCTTCTCCGGGCAACCTGTGCCAGGGCCTCCCCACCCTCACAGAGAGCAGTTTCTTCTAAGCATCTGATCTAAATCTCTCTTCTTTTAGTTTAAAACCGTTCCCCCTTGTCCTATCACTATCTACCCCTGTAAACCGTTGCTCTGCCTCATTTTTACAAGCCCCCTTTAAGAAGTGGAAGGGGCTCCAAAGTCTCCCTGGGGCTTTCTCTTCTCCAGGCTGAACAATCCCAGCTCTCAGCCTGTCTCCATCCAGGGATGCCGGAGAGGAGATGAGGGCGCAGAGCCGGGGCCGGCTGTATGTGCGAGCTGCCCGTGCTGATCTCCAGGGAGCAGATCTTTCTCTCCCGCTGTCGGTCGCATCTGCTTTGTGCGCAGAGCCGCGAGGCTTGGGGGGTTGTACGGAAAGATAAAGCCCTGAGCCGTGGAGAAGAGCCGTGAGCTGTGGAAGAGCGTGAGGAGAGTTCGCATGTCGCAACACACCCATGCAGTAGGTTTTTGTGGCACCTCTCCCTCCTTCCCCAGCTCCCAGCCACGGTCTCAGCACCACCAGTGCGTATCCCAGCCCTGGGAGGGGGCAGGGACCGTGCCCTCCCTGCGTCATCGGCACGACAGAGGCATTTCTAGGGGAGTGTGAGATGCTCCCGGTGTGCCCTACATAGGTGCCAGGTAACAGAAGAGCTGGTGGCAGGGCTTGAAACGTCCTGATTTTGCGCTGTTAAAGCAGTTACCTAAATAATAACCAGATAATCCTGACCATGAGGTCTCCAGCCCAGGAAATCGGCATTAACCTACCGGGAGCTGAGCACACGTGTGAAGAAGCTCCTTCCTGTGGCCACAGTGCCTGCCCCTCACCTGGCTCCTTTCTTTAGTAACACGCCTTCCTCTGGCGATCCAATTAATGCTGGCTATAAGTAGGAAAGCCTCTATAAATTCTGGGAATTCTAAAGGCACCTGCTCTGTACAAGTGTGCCAGCAAAATTAATCTAACAGCCTAATCACTGGCTTGTCCCTCCTCGGGAGGCTTTTGGGTTTTATTTCATAGCAGGGATCTTGCTTCCTGGCTCTGTTTTTATTTTCACTGCAACTTTGTTTAAAATGAATGGCTTGCTCGAGATTTCCAATCCTTTAGCTGAGTTTTAGGTTTTGGGACCTGGTGTTGCTGGTGTTGCAAAGCATCCAGCCTGCCTGGCTGTCTCTCGATGTGCAGCGATGGGGTCTGGCTTGGATGGTGCACTCAGGATGAAAATAAACTAAATATTTGGGCTCTGAATTCCAAAACAAATTGGATGTGGACTGAAGGTCCCCTGGAGAAGAAATAGGAGAAGAAATCGGAAAAATCTGACAAAGCATTAGTGCTCACCATTTTCTGGATAAAATCCAGAGCGTGAAATGGTCCTTGTGGTCCCACAGAGGTTCCTGTAACCTGCAAAGCAGCTGCCGTTCACGTGGTCCTTTCTTCTCCTCTCATTTCTTCCTTTTCGATGTTGGAAGAGCTATTGGCAGAGCTCTCCATGCCTGTATGGATTTGCTGACTCCTGGGCTCTGCCTGCATTCCTTACAGGCTGCTGGATGCTCCATGCTGTGATTTGGAAATCGAGATGCGCTGGGAAGCTGTGAGGGAGGGAGTGGCTTGGAAAAGCTCAGGTGTGGGAGTGCTATTGCCAAATACTCGTGCTTTAAGCAATTCATATGTTAAGAGTATTGGTAAATCCCTGAGTGGGAAGAAGCCTGTTGAAGGCAGGATGGGGCTGAACTCATGCTGATGGCACAACTGGCTCCTGAGTGATCCCTTCTGGGCTGGGATCCTGTCTGCTCCACAACTGAGGAGCGGTTTGAGCGAAGCCGTGCTGGCTCCGGTGAGGGAACGGCTGAGTCGTGCCATCCACACCCTCCAAGTTACCTTTGTTTGCCTGTCTTTAATGAGAGATTATAAGAGATTATCTTTTCCCTTATTACCTGTTGCTCAGGTTTTCGGTTTGTTGAAAGTCTAATTAACCTTCCTGCTTCAGGAATGCTGGTGGGAATTATTTTTTTTACTATTTCACCTGTGTGCTGGAACTCCTCTTAGCATCTTTTTATGGCTTGGCGCCACAGCGCTCACAGAGTTATCTGAGGTTTCATTGGATGGATTCCTTGCAAAAGCAATGGGATTTGGGTAGCACACAAAATAAACAGTGGGTTGTTCTAACAAGAAGTGAGCAGAGATTGCCACAGGGTGGCTGAGGAGACTGTTGGGTAAGGCCAAAAATAGTTCTCCACTTGTATTGTCCTGCTCAAGTGCCTGGACATCCTAATTAGACACTTATTGCAAATCTCCTGCTAAAAGTTCTCCTGGTAGAAGTTAGTGCCCCTATTAAAAAAATGCGCATTCCAATAGCAATATAAATCCATAACACACAGAACTGCTCCCCGTGCAGAGAAAAGCTCCCTGCCTTCCCAAGGAACAGCCTTCCCATGTGGCACCCCTGGAGAGAATCCAGTTCCACCTATGTTCAAGCAGGGTCAGCTGGAGCAGGTTCATCATCACAGAGTGATTTGGGTTGGGAGGGATCTTAAAGAGCATCCAGTTCAAACCCCCTGCCACAGGCACGGATGCCACCCACAAGGTAGGAAGGCAGGAAGCTGTGGGAGCAATTGGAAGATGCCACCTGTCATCCTAGAAGATGGATGCTCCCAGTTCTTCCAGCCTAGCTGCTCAAATAATATCCAGTGTCTTTAGCAAATTCATGTGTCTCATGTCTCTCACGGCAGCACTGCCTGGTATGAACTGTGGTTTGTGTGCTCAGGATGTTTGCTAAGGGAAAAAACTCACCTGCCTTCCTATTCCCCACCGCTCTTCCTCCTCCCCTCTCCCAGGCAGGACTGTGGGCTGTGGGAAGGGGCTGCCACAGCAGTGGGCACTTTTCCCTGGGAGAGTAAAAGGAGGCAGTGTGGTGCTAAAATGCCGCCTGGCCTCTGCCCCTC